ATTTTCATAATTCTGAACCTTCAGAATTGGGAGACTCGCCGAAAAATGCTCGTTCGAATGATTCATCGCCATCGTGATTTTCTTCCCACGAATCGCTCAGCCAATGCTCTAGATACCAAATTTTAGAATTAACTCAAAACTTTGAAAATTTCGAATCATTCTTGATGAACAAGATTCAATCAATCTGATCGAAATTCCTTGTTCTTCACTCTTCACTCAAGTGAAACAATCAAACCTTGATTGCAAGAATGATTCTGCGCAACAATTGTTAATGAAAGAAGAAAGAAAATTGAATAAGAAAGAAGATTAGGGTTTAACAAAAATTGAGAAACAGATGATTTTTGCAGAGTATCTCTATGCTCTCAAACTGAGAAAATATTATTCAACTGTGCAACTGCACTTTGTATTGTGTGTTTCTTACAATTCATAATAGGGTTACTCTCTATTTATAATCGAGCTACCTTACTTTTTAGGGGTAAAACTCAAAATATACAAAAACTCAAAATTTCTATTTTGATCTAAGTTGAAATCCTGTATCAAACAATCTGCTTCGACACTTCTATATCTAATATTACTCGACACACACTACAAATTTCAACACATCCTTGTTTTTGTCGAGCACTACCTACTTCGGCACAAGAAATTATATTCTCAACAAAATTTATAAGACATTATGCTTATACACAGATGACAATTAAAAATACTTCTGTCTTATTCGACGTGAGATGCAGGAGTCGTCCCATCATAATTAATGGCAGATGATGTTCTAGTTGCTGGGATCAATTGTTTCACCTTTAGCGAGATCTCACATATTATTTTGTGTTGAATAGATATTATATATTGATCGTCATAGTTGGGCCTTCTTCATCACGCCATGTGGCCCGAAACACAAATCTATCTAAAATATAAATATTTACAATTTAACAATCAATTAATTATTCACTTATTCAAAAGTAATTAAATATATAATAGTACTATCATGAATGTGATTTTGTTTGTTATGATTTCATATGATTGCAGTTGGAGTTGGTTAGTGGTGGTATCTATTCATCCAAGTGATAAAAGGAAGATGGGGACAGCAGTTTAGGGTAGGAATCATGGGAGAATGGAGTTAATGCGTATGTCATGAGCTTCTTGCACTTTGTATTTTCTGAAATGACACTTCATATATCACGGTAATCACGCGCTCATCTCATGTTTTTCATTTCCTTTATCTTTTTCACTGCAATATATCTTACCCTCACCCATAAGCAATTCAACCCAGATCATCGTATGAAATTTTAGAGAAAATATATAACTAACAATAGTATAAAGATATAGTTAAAAAATATTTATTGTCAAGCAGGTATAAAGCATTTAGAACCAACTGGATTTTCCAACAAAATCATGAGGCAAAAGAATGTTGGAATTAATAACATGTCAGACGATATAGTTGCAACTTGCAGACGTTAAAAATTGAAGAGGGCAAACACAGATTGTTAAAAGCTCCACATTGCAAGAGATGGACATCCAATTTTGCAAACAAGGGTTATCATCAATGTAAAAACTTAAAATTATATTGGAGTTTATCTAATCAATTGTTTGTTACAGGATTTATTTTCCCACAGAATTATATACATTTTTTCTGGTCACTATTATAAATAATAACAATAATTTTAAATTTATTGAATAATTGATATATCTGATATATAATAATAGTTAAATACGTTATTTATTTATTGAATTTAAATTTTTTTTTATAATAATGACCGGAGTATATATATATATATATATATATATATATATATATATATATATATATATATATATATATATATATATATATATATATATATATATATATAATTGATTTAAATAAAGATATTTTTTAAACAATTTGAAAAATGAATAAGAGTTGGCCTACTTAGAGTGTCTCTAGTGGGAGTATGTTAAGTGGATAAATTAAAATATTTTTTGTGGAACTAAAGTGATTTGTAGAATTTAAAAAATTTATAGTAGATTTGAGTTGTTTTTACTAATTTAATGATAGTTGCTTATAAAAAACTAAAATTTGACTTTATATTATTTTTTTAATAATATAAATAATAATATTATATGTTTTAAAATAAATAACATGCGTTAGCTATATAATTGCCGGAAATTAAAAGTTAGTGAATTAAATGTCATGTCATAGTCATTTCAATGCAAATTCTTTATAATTATCGTTAACTATAAAAAAATTTAACTATTAAAAACCTGTATTAAAGATACTCTTATCAAAATATCACTCGAGTGACACTTTTTTCTTCTTCTTCTTTGGACATGATGGGTTATGAGTTGAAGATTGAATGAGATTGTATGGACATATATTATGAACCATATATTTAGTTAATGTTTAATCTTAACAATTTTTCTTGTCTAATAATATCAAACAAACATGAATAATAATATATAGAACAAAAAAATAATGACAACTAAATTAAATATTTGGGAGAAATAATATAATTTGTTAAACAACATAAACAAATTCGCAATAAAAAAGAAAAAAATAAAAAGTAAATACACAAAAGAACTTATTTATCATGTTCGATCAAACCGATCTACAATAAATTAAAAGTAATTATTTGATTTACTGTACTTTTAAAAATATTTTTAAAAAAACTACAAAAGGGATAAAAAAAAATAGTCACTTAAATTTTCAAAAACAAATATTTTCTACTCAAGTGATGTTTATCTATCCTCTCTAAATAAGAATCACAAAACCTAAATATACGAATTTTTTCTCAATCTCGTTGTAAACTTTCAAAAGATTTCTCACATACATAGAATTTTAAGGAATTTTTACTTTTATCTCTCTATTAAAGATTACAACCACTTCTTTTTACCTAGAGATACATATCTATAATCGTCGAAATTTCACATACGCCTGACGAGCTTCAAACATGACCTAACACTCATGAATTGCGCAAACCGAACTGCCACTATTGTATGACTCTGGCAAGTTGTGGATCATTGTCCACCTGTCACCTTTGATATTGCAGCTAAGCTATATTTGTTGGAGGCGACTGATATTGTAGTCGGTCGCCCCGCAGGACCACTGCTCCAACGTCCCACATCTTTTTCTAGTTACTTTTTCTTGCGTTTTGATTTTTGACAATATATGTTTTCTTCCTCTTCATTATTTTATTATTTGAGATTTTAAGACATACTCCTACTACAAGCGGCAATGGAGTTGATTTTATAAAAATAAACTAAATTAAATTTAAAAATATAAAAAATATAAAAATTAGAGATGTTACAAGAACCCATAATGGTGATGGTACAAGATAAAGGATAAAGAAGGTTAATAAATTCTTTCCAGCATTTGTGGGGTGTATTTTCTTGTAAATAGTGAAAGTAAAGAATAAAGATGACAACAATGAAAACTCATCCTTCAATTCCTTCTTTGCTTTACTTTACTTTCACTGTGACATGATAAAGAGTTCTGGTCAGTGGCATTTACTATGGATTTGAAGGTCCAAGTCTCCAACTATCTAAAACCTAATAAGCATGTTTTTTTTCTTGGTATAAAAAAAAGCACTAGTCTTTTGTTTTTTCCTTAGAACCCTAGTCTTATAATTAACTTCTAAACCTAATTATTTTTCTCTTAACTCATTCAAAAGTTGAAAGTATTTCATTAGACACTTTACTCTAAAATTACTATCACTTTTTCAGACACTGCAAACATAGAAAGTGTAGAGGAAAATAAGGATTGAGTGAGAAAGAGCAATGTTCAGTCACTGCTACATTGGTACACTGTGCTGTGTTTTATGCATTGATCAGTAACTAGTAACTGATACAAACACAGATATAGAGGGACACGCTATGTTCTTATTGATTCTTGTGTTTATAAATGATTAAATTGATTAACAAATTCATCAATGGTGTAGAGTATCATCGAAGACTAACAGTTTCAAGTTAACAACAGTCCAAAAATTCCATCACAGATCCCAAAGTGGGAAAAAGTAACCTTATCACCGACCCCTTTTTGAGATGTGAGGCTTAAGAATGCTATGTCAAGACAAAACTCCAGTTCATCATATCATCATTAATATCTGAATTTAATCAATTCATTCTAATTTTCATGTCATCACAATTTTCTTATATTGATGTATGTATCATGCTAATAGAACCAACATTGATACATACACAGACACAACACTGACATGTGTAGCTGTCAAACACTAACACGTATTTAATATAAAGTTTTACATAATACTACATGTGTAGCTGTCAGACACTAATACGTGTTCAATATGAAATTTTACATGACACTATATATCTTGGTGTCAGACACTAATGTGTATTCAATATAAAGCTTTACCCGACACTACATGTGTAGTTGTCATTGTCAGACACTAACGAGTATTCAATATGAAATTTTGGGGCTATACATATATAGAATTTGATACATACATCGACGCAACACAACGACACTTGTTGTCGAACAGAGTCACGTCTTCGATAGCTAAAAATGGCTAGCATATAAAAAAAATGATTGGGGCACAAGCATATGAATATAACATATTAATTGTAAGAATTGAGACAATTATATTAACTTGCATCAAGTTCGAATTCATCAATACAAAAGAAAATTTGGACAATTATAATAAGCATGATGAATTTAACAACAAAATGCTATGTTCTAAAATTTCTCTCTTGCTACATATATATAACTTGATTTTGATAACCAAACAAATAAATAAGACAAATTCATAAAATATGTTTTAAATTAGATTTTAGACAACTATATAGTACATCATAGCCTTCCAATTAGTTCCTCCATTCATCACTTTTCCTTCCATGATTAAAAAAAGCTCTACCTGTAACCAATGTTTGAATTGACAGTGAGATTATCAGAATCATAACAAGCCTAATTAATTCGGTAAAAGTATCATTGTCGAGTTTTATCAAAATCACATGATCACATCGTGATTTTTCTAACTCGTTGATAATCCAAACATACACTTAATCGATCCGTTTTAGGGCAAAGCACTGTATGGTAGCTGCTGCTGCTGCTGCTGCATATCACCCCAAGCATGAACACCACCACTGTTAATCCAGCTGTTGTTTCCATTCTCAATCTCATGATCATCATTCATGCAAACACTATCATTAGTTCTTGTAGGAGTCATCATCGATGAATAAGAATTCATCTCAAAGAACCATTCACTTGGATTTGGACCTGCTTTTCTCATATCGCCATCATCACCAACACCTTGAAACATCTCCGCCTTCGAATTCTCGAGATTCTGAAACAAAATCGGTTGAGGCTTTTCAATGCTGCTAACCTGAGAAACCAAATCATTGCCACTTAGACTATCTTTCTTGTCGTTACCTCCGCCGAACATTGTTGCTAATCGTTGCTGCTGAAGCTTCAAATGCAAATCCTGGTTCATACAACTCAACGATTCAATGGCAAGACTAGTACTAGTAGTTGTAGTAGTAGTAGTACTAGTGTTCACATTCATAAAGTTCATTCCTTGAATTGCGTTTTCATTGATGAATCCACTTCCATTTGAAGTAGAAGAATTAAAAGGATATAAATTTAGACCCATCATTGGATTTGAGGTACTAGATGGATCAAGATGAAAATTTGAAGCAGTTGTAGTAGAAACACAAGTGTTTGGATTTGAAGGGAGTTGGTTATAGAAATAGGGTTTTGAAGAGAAGGGTAATGGTAAAGGTAAGGGTAATAACCCACCAAGATGAAAATCAAGTGAAGGTGAATACTTAGTAATGGATGATAATGGTGACGATGATGATGATAAAGATGAGTTTTTGAGTTTTTGTTTCTTTCTACAACCACCACCTATTGGAACATTCCTCAAGGATCCACCATTAGTCCAATATCTTCTACAAGTTTTGCAGAAGTGTCTTGGTTGAGTGAGACTGTAGTTGTTGTAGTAACAGAATTTTGTGTTGGGAGAGTCACATCTAGGACATTTTACTACAACTCTTTGTTGTTGTTGTTGTTGTTGTTGTTGATCTGGTTTCTTGGATTCTGAAGAAGAATCTTGTTGGTTTTCATGATTTTGTGTGTTGTTGGTATTTGGTGGAACCATTAGGGAGAGAAAAAGAGAAAAGAAAAAGTGATGAAATAAAGGTTAAGGAAAAGAGAGAAAGATTGTAGCCAGTACTACTTTTTTGTTGAGTTTTGTTATGGAGAGGGAAGATAGAAGTAGTTGAATGATGAGTTCATTTGATGCATGGTGGTGGTGAAAAGAGAAGGATGTTGTTGTTGATGATGTATTGTGCTTGTGATTGTTATTAAAAGGATGTATGAGGTGGGTTTAGAGGTCTTTTTCATATGATTTTATGCAATAAAGCTAAACATATATATAGATAGATACATGTATTTGTATATATATGGAGGAGAGAGAGAGAGGCATGAAAAGACAAAGAGTGACAGAAGGAGAGAGAACATAAACGAGAAAAATGAATAATGGAAAAGATCTAGAGAAGTATAGTATATATGTATTAATTATGTGTGGTGCAATGTAACAGTTTAATGTAACAGTAGGATTAGCTAGGGTGAGCTTAGCATAATTAATACAATTAAATGTTAATGTAAGAGTAATTACTAATTATAGTTTGATATATTTAAGAATTATAAGACACTAGTCATGGTGCAAAAACTAGTAAAGTATCTTCTTCTTGTGAGTCCAGAACATGTCTAACAAACTTCTCCAAACAGTACGCAAGCTCTTTCTTACTCTTTTAAGTTACTTATACGTGGATAATTTATATACTTTTGTTTGTATATATTTGGCAAATTCTCAACCACAACCAATTTAAGTGATGACGAAACTCACATGTAAAATGTATACCAAAGTTTAAATTTTAGTGATGAGTGAAACTTAACAATATTGATTTCTGTTTATTGAATTGATATTTATAGATATTATGTGCTAACTTTGAAAAAACGTGTTTGGTTTAATTATGTTAAATTAATCCTTTGGTAAATTACATTTTAAAAAAATAATTTATTTTTGAATATATTTGAGTAAAATAAGTTAAATAATAAATTTAAATATAAAATCAATTATGGTTATAATTGCTGTTAAGATATTTAATAGAAAACATGCTAAACCATAATAAATTTATTATGACAATGCATTATTTGACAAATATGCTTCCCAAGTAAAATAATATTGGTATTTATAGAAGTATTGTAAAATTATGGGTTTAAATACATCAACTAAAATCTTGATTAGGTCCTAAAAGACTCGCATCATACAAATGAAATGAGTTCAATCTAGTCAAATTAAAGAAACATGTAATGTTATGGATAGTGTTCTGGACTAGGTCGATACTTAGCTCACAACCAAACAAGCCCAAGTCCAATGGAGTTGGGCCCAAGAGTACCACGCTAACGGGCGCAGGATCCCCGTCGAGCACAACATTTCCCCGTTGGGCATAGCCCGACGACTGTCGGGCAGATCCCTCGCTTCCGACCAGCCATCCTCCTTCTTCCCCATCGTCGGGCAGGACCCTCGAATCCGACCAGCCACCTCTGACTGACCGGGAAACTCCTCAGGCCTTCCCCCACGTTCTCCACGTGTCCATCACGCAGGGACACATCATAAAGTAACTACCCACGTCCTAGAGATTCGGTCTTTCTTCTCCCGGATAGTGCAGAACAGTTACTATAGGGTGAAGACCACGTCCTGGCCTTCACGGCGCCATGTCATCCCTAGCAGTTACTAACATTGGGCCTGGAAGCCCAGCCCAGTGTTAGGTAATCGTTTGCCCTGCGGTGAGGGCTCACTATAGATACCCTCTTCACTAGAGGGTCAGGTAACTTAACTTCTTACTCTCTCTCTCTGCGCTTGCTTCCACTCTGCCCGTCACTTACTTTGCATCAGAGTGTGTTTCAGATACACCCCCTCCTCTTCCATACCTTCGGTGAGCAGCTAGCAGATCAACGACGCGTGGTAGTCCATAGCTCCCCTTCTGGTCAGGTACGATCAGATAGATAAAAAAAATTTATAAGCAAGACAATTTTATTGAATAGATTACAAGGGTACTCAACCCAATAAAAAAAGAGTGAAGGAACAAACTAACAAACCATACACTAACTCAACTAAGAAAACTAATAAACCCTACCGTAATTCAAAATTTTGGAATATTTATTTAATTTATTTAAATATGAATATTCATATTTTTGGTGATTTTCGGTGGTTGGTGTTAATATTGGGATTATGGAGTTTTGAGTTATTTATTTAAATAATAGTATATAATATGAATATATTTGTTATTATGATTAATTTAAATAAATATAACTTAATTTAAGGGAAAAGTGGACATTTGAGGAGGAGTTAGTGAGGGTGAAATTGGAAAGCCCATTTTAAAGGTCCAAAGTTAGGTTTAACAAAAAGGAAATTAGGATTCATTCTTGTTAAACGTGAAAAGGAAAGAAGCAGAGGTCAGAGCTCTGAGGAAGAGGATTGAGGCAAAAGTTTTGCGAGGTTTCCAAGAATCAAGGAGAAATGCTAAGAATTGGAAATTAAGGTATGGGGAGTATTACCTTCATTGTTTTCAATATATGATTCAATGTATTTAAAGCCTATTTAAGGGTTTAGGAGGTTTTTTAGTTTGAGGAAAATTAGGCCTTGTGGCCAAACCTGTCTTTGAGGTTGTTTAAGTATGGGGATATTACCTTCATTGTTTTCAATATAAGATTCAATGTATTTAAAGTCGATTTAAGGGTTTATGGATTTTGAGTATTGAATTGTTGTTGCCTTTCTGGTGAATTTAATGAGTTTGAGGGATTTGAACTGATGGTCTGATAGGTTTGAGGCTGATTTGGGAGTAAGGGAAATTAGGCCTTCATGGCCAAAATATGTTGTTGAGGTTTTAACCATAGGATAATTGATAATGAGAACGCTAATGAATGTGGGAAAATTGTAAGGATTTTATGGGAATTGGAGGTTTAAATACTGTTAGTTCCATGATTATATGATTGTCCATGGTTCTATGATTGGCTAAATTTTGGTAAAACATGATTCTGCATTAATGTTAAGCAGGATGTTATAACATCTCCATCTGCTGTGGCGACAGAACTGCTGTGGTGTGTTTTAATGTGAATGTCGTGACATCCATCTACTGTGGTGACATAACCGCTGTCATGTGGTTTAATCAGGATGTCATTACCAATGTCATGACATCGCTGTCTGGTACAACAGGAGCTACTGTTTTATATCACTTGACAGAAGTGCTTTGGATATACCTCATCAGTATGTGCAGGCCAAAGAGATTTATTAGGAACAAAGTGCAGGTTCAATTGGTGTTCATAAAAAGGACCTTTGAGACATTTTAAGAAACTATAATATGCTTGTTTCTACTGTTGTGAAGAAGATTCTGCAGGAATGTTCAGCATGGTGAGTTTGGTCAGCTAAGAACAAAGTGTGTTGGATGTCATGCTGGATGTTATGACTTCAAGCGTATGACATCTGCGCGCGTGTTTTAGTTTTCTGGTATTTTACCTGATATATCTCAGGCTAGAATTTAGAAAACCTGTTATGGCTCCTTAGTTATCTCAGGCGAGATTCTAGTCAGGGCTGGGCATAACATGAAGCAGACGTGACCTAATTTGACAGCACCTTGAATTATGGAAAGTGGTTAACTTGGTTAAACCTAATGTTTGTTACTCTTGACCAGCCCAAGGCCAGTCTGCATTTCTATTTAAGGAGGAGCAGAAACAAGGGAAATCAAGCACTCACATCAAGAACAACTAGAGTGTAAAATAAAGGTTTAGTGTTTGAGAGTTCTGTGTGTGTGTCTTTGTAAGTCACTCTTTGTATCTTTGGATGCGTCGTGGTAGAGATGTTTAGGCTGTCATTAGTACAATGCTAGTTGTTCACTCAAAGCTTTTAAGCAAGAGTGTATTTGTGAGTGAAGAGGTATGTTCTTCACGTGTATTTGTGTGTCTTAGGAATACTTGTGCCCCAAGCAATTATCTGTTGTATGATTGCATTGGTCTAGAGTTCTTAAGTTGTCTGTTCACTCAAAGCTTGTAAGCAAGAGTGTATTGTTCTTGATTGAAGCTGTTAAGCAAAATCAAGTATTGTGACTTTGAAGAGTGTCTTCTAAAGTCTTCTTTTGAATTGAATTGTTTATCACTGTTGTGATTAAGGGGGAGTGAGCGGGGTCTCTTGTCTAGTGGATTCTAGGCAGAAATTGCATTGGGTAGAGATTATGTGAGGAGTTGTAAATGGGGGAGTTTAGCTCTGAATTGACTATGCTAATAGTGGATTTTCTTCCTGGCTTGGTAGCCCCCAGATGAAGGTGAGGTTGCACTAAACTGGGTAAACAATTCATTGTGTTATTTATCTTTCAGCATTTACAATTCTGTATAATTTAAATGGTTAGATAAATAGTCTGTTTGTCTGCTGATGTCACAATAGATGCCATGACATTGGTCATGACATTGGTACAATTTAAAGGAATTTAAATTGGTCATGGTCTGTCCTCATCCTTGTTGAGTAGAGGTCAATGTTCTTGGGACATATGAGATCTGCATACCAGAATTTCAATTGGTATCAGAGCAGGCATCATGTCTGTTCTGGATGAGATCTTGGGAGATACTTTTTGGTGTCTTGAACAAGGAGAAGTGGTAGCTGATTTATTGATCTTGCTAAATGTTTGAGCTACTGCTTGTGGAGTTAAGGAGAAGAGTGTGTTCACTCCTGCTTATGAAGGATTCTGTGTAGCTGCTGTTGTGCCCTCTGATATAGGAGCTCCAATGACCTGTTGAATGTTCTGAAATCTTGTTTAGGGCATGTTGAAGATGTTCTTTTGGTGGTTCCGTTGCATATTTGTCTGATGAAAGAACTCTGGTAGCCCTGAGAGAGTATTGTTTATAATGTATACAATGTGATATGTGTCTATGGCAGGTTGCTGAAGGATGTGTTAGAGAAGATAGCGGGAGGTGATTTAATTTCACCACTCATGACTTGCAGGGATTCTATCAGCAGAGGAAGTCATAGGGAAGTTGAGCCAAGGATGTCATCCCTGGTGTTTCAACATTAAAAGATCCTTTAACTAAAGAATACTTTTGATG